CGGACGGCGGCGCCCGGGCTCGCACGGGGGCGGATGGTGCCGTCGTGCTGAACCTGCGGCGCGGCCCGGGGGCCTACGCGCTGCTCTCGCGCGCGGACGGGCAGCTGACCCGGGCGGGCCAGCACTACTACTCCCACCTGGGCCTGCGGCCTCCCAGCAAGGACTTCGACTACAACCAGCCCCTCATCCGCGAGGGGCCCAACGACTACATCCTGCTGCGCAACGGGCAGAAGAAGCTCGTGCGCTCCCTGCAGGGCGGAGAGCACCGGCTGACCAAGCTGGGCAAGGGCTTCTTCCGCGACAAGTACTACGAGTACCTGGTCCACGTGCCGGTGATCATCCGTGGCAGGCGGCGCAGCGGGCGGAACGCGGGCGCGGGCTACGAGCGCAGGGACTGGCTGCCGGTGAACGAGCTGGGCGGGGCCATGACGAGGCACCCGGCGCACCTCACGGAGGAGCAGGTGGCGCAGCGGGTCAGGCAACAAGTGGAGGCCTCGCTCGATCCGGGCGGCCCCATCCTGCAGCTCTCGGACGAGACCTACTTCCTCGACCCTGAGGGGCACTGGGTGGTCAGCACCCAGAGCACGCACTACAGGAACTCCAGGACCGAGGTGGAGACGCTCCTGCGCCAGCGCATGAGGGGCCTGAGGAGCGTGAGCTTCCAGCTGCCCTGCGAGGAGGACGTGCTGCAGAGCGCCTTCGAGGACAAGCCGCTCTGCGTGCCCCGGCAGCTGGCCGAGCTGCTGCAGCTAGCGTGGAGGAGGTGTGCGCGGACTTCGACGCCATGCTGCGCCACGACTGGAGGCGCCTCGGCATCTCCGCCGAGGAGGTGCGAGAGTTCTGCGTGTGGCGCAACGCCCCCATGCGCGTGCTGAGCTCGCAGGGCGACCTCGTGGACAGCTACGACCCGGCGCTGAAGGAGCACCGCACCGTGTGCTTCTTGGCCTTCGACGGGCACTGCTACATGTACAGGGCCGTGAAGCGGGTGCTGGAGCGGCAGGCGGCGCGCGTGCTCTACCGGGGCGAGGCGAGGCAGACCCTGCCGCCCATCCAAGAGTGGAGGCGCTTTGACGCCGCGGACGTGCAGCCGGGGCTGTTCTGGTGCGAGGACCTGCGGGAGGCGCGGCGCCAGCTCATGGCCGCCGGCGAGAGCCCCAAGGTGGCCATCAGCAGCCCGGCGCAGTACTGCGGGCTGAGGCTGAGGCGGGGCACCAGGATCCGAGAGCTGCCGGAGGAGCACGAGGTGCTGCGGAGGTGGTGCAAGGCGCTGGGGCAGGAGTACAGGGGCCAGCGCCTGGCCGGCTTGGCGCACGAGATCTTCCTGAAGCTGCTGAAGGCGAAGCGGGAAGTGCCCGGCGCGGCGGAGAGGCAGAAGACCCTGGCCGCGCAGGACGGCAAGTGCGCGCTGTGCGGCTGCGGGCTGACGGCCGGCACCTGCGAGCTGGACCACGTGCTGCCGGTGAGGCAGGCCTTTGCGGGCAGCGTGCAAACTCTGCAGGCGCTGTGCGGCGACTGCCGCAGCGAGAAGACGCTGAGAGAGAGCGCGCAGCCCACCAGCCTGGAGAGCCGCGTGGGTCATGGAGTACGCCCGGAGCCCCAAGCTGCCTCCTCTGGTTTTTGAGGCGCAGACGTGCGCAGCGTCCCGCAAGAAGGACGCGCTGTACGTCGGCGTGGACGTGGTGCGCTGCAGGCGCAACGGGCTGGCCAACGCCCCCTTCCCCCTGCCCATCCTGTGCCCGGCGGACGGCGTTGAGCCCTGGGCTTTGTGGAGGGCTGCTGCGACGCGAGGCAGTCCTGCCTGAATCTGTTGCCGTATGTGGGGCCCGGCTGGTGCCCGAAGGTTTCGCTGGCCGCGATGCTGGACCTGGGCGTCTGGCGCTGGGACCACATCGTGCTGGGCATCTCCGCGCGGAGCCACGTGGACGCGGCGACGCTGCGGCGCGCGCTGGAGCGCATGGACGCCGCGTGGCAGGGCGAGGAGCACATGGCCAAGCTCAGCGTGAACGCGATGATAGGCCTGTGGGCGCGCAGCACGGAGGTGGTCTACAGCGTGCGCAGCAGCAGCAGCGAGCTGGACGGCGCGGGCGCGAACTTCTCTCACACCTTCGCCTACGAGGGGGGCATGGTGTGGGACTTCGTCTACGCCAGGAGGCTGCACCTACCGCCCCATCCATGACGCGGTCCTGGGCTTTGAGCACTGCATGGTGGCCAAGGCCGGCGCATCCTGGACGCGCCGCCGCGCTACCTCGCGCAGGTGAAGACGGACTGCCTGCTGACGCAGCGGCTGCCGAAGCGCTTCACGGAGCGGCTGCGGGCGAGGCGCTGCGCCACCCTGACGGCACGCCAAGCCACGCAGTGACCTACGCCAGCTGCCAGGGCCTCACCCTCCACAACCGCGTCCGCCTGCACCTGGAGTCCTGCCACCTCACGCTGCGCCACCTGTACGTGGGCGCCTCACGGGCCACGAGCTCCGAGCTGCTGGAGGCGGCCTAGAACGGGCAGCACGGCGCCTCCAGGGGCTCCAGCATGAGGTGGCGCACCTCAAAGAGCACGCCCCACTGCCTGGCCATCAGCCACACGTGCCGGGCCTCCACAAGCGCGCGGCCCCTGCGGCGCGCGAACTCCGCGGGGCGCGGCGCGCGGTTGCCGGCGGGGTCCCAGAAGAGGCAGCGCTCCAAGTCCATCTTGCACTTCACGTGCTTGCCCTTGGCGCTCACCTTGACGGCGCGCTGCAGCTGGCTCTCAAGCTCGGTGCGGGCGGCCCCCGGAAAGGGCTTCTGGAAGATGATCATGTTGTCGATGACGGCCTGCTCCACCTCCTCCGTCCACAGCTCCAGGTCGGTGTTGCTCGCAAAGCACACGCCCACCCTCTTGGCCCCGTCGTCCTGGAAGTTGCCGGGCTCCCACAGCACCTCCACGTCCGCCTTGCACACCAGCGCGCCCTGATGGGAGTCCTCTATGGACATGAACTTCCCCCCCTTGGCATTGGTCTGAACGTCCAGCCCGAGTGCAAGCTTCATTGCGAAGTTCGGCTTTTTATCTCGCGGAGAAAAAATCCGGTCCGATGAACGTGCGAGTCTTCTTGGTCGTCGCAGTGGCGGTGATCTTGCTCTTTAAAAATGCCGAGACTCCTGGAGCTTTTCTGCGGCACCAAGTCGGTGGGCAGGGCCTTCGAGGCGGCGGGCTGGGAGGTCGTCTCCCTGGACATCGTGTCGAAATTTGAGCCCACAATCCTGTGCGACATCCGGAGCTGGGACTACACTACGTTTCCGCCGGGGCACTTCGACATGGTTTGGGCCAGCCCGGTCTGCACGGAATACAGCCGCGCACTGACGACGCGCCCGCGGCGGCTCCTGGAGGGCGACGCGCTGGTGCTCAGCGCCCTTGAGATCATTGCGCACTTTGACCCCTTGATGTGGGTCATAGAGAACCCGGCCACCGGGCTGCTGAAGACCCGGCCGTTCATGGAGCGTCTGTGTTGGGTGGACGTGACCTACTGCAAGTACGGAACTCCGTACAGGAAGCAGACGCGGCTGTGGACCAACATGCGCTGGAGGCCGAGGCGAAGCCTGTGCAGGCCCGGCAGCCGCTGCGAGGCGTGGCAGGACGGCAGGCACCTCCGGGCCGCGCAGCGGGGGCCGCGGCTGATGGAGGGGCAGTACGAGAGGGTCAGCCAATCACGCGAGCTGCTCTACAGCGTTCCTGCTGCGCTGTGCGAGGAGATTGCGCGCGCGGCCACGGAGGAGCTTGCGGAGCGGCTGAGCATTCCGGACTAGGCTTCCTCCAAGGGGCCTGGAAAATGGCCATTTTTTCCATGTTTTTTTGCATGTTTTGGGGCGGTGCCACTAAACACCAAAAATGGCGCAGAGGGGCACCCCCCCGCCTTTTTTCTCGTTTTTGGGCGCATTCAAAAGCGGTGCCACTCTGCATCAAAAATGAAGCAGAGGGGCACCGGGCCTTTTTTTTGCCGTTTTTGCTCAACTTCAAAAGCGGTGTCACTAAACACCAAAAATGGCGCAGAGGGACACCGGGCCTTTTTTTGCCGTTTTTGCGGCGCAAAACCTGCTGATGTATAGCGGTTGCTGCTGTTGCTGGCTGCAACTTGTTTCGTCAAGCTGTATGACGAAATTTGAACCGGCACTGATGGAAAGTGCTGCAGATCATCCTTTGCATCGTGTTTTGAAGTTAAAGGCACAGTCAAAAGTGTGTTCAGAGTCATTTGAAACCTGACTGAAGGCTGACAAGTGAGTCTACCCACTGCTTCCCAACGGTTGTTGAGAAATTGATTCAACAAACCAATAATATTAAAATCAAAACGTTGCACAACACACCCTTAGAGACGCAGATAAAGCCGACCAACAAAGTTTCTTACCTGTTATGGCAAGCGGAAACTCACGGATAGGATTTGCTAAACAATTTCACAGCACGCCGCATACAACTCAAGCTTTGAAGCAGATTTTTCTGGCTTGGGATCATTGGTCTAACACTGAGACTGACGGCAGTAGACAGATTTGGAGGGAGCAGGGCATGTCCTGACTTTGGCCCTTGAGTCGGGGTGTTGAAAAAAGGAGCGGCAGTCGTTGCGCAGGGCTGTGGCAGTTGCAGGCTCAAAGTCGTGCTGGCCGTGATTAGCCGTGATTATGTGACAGCTTCAGGCCCGACCAGGCCCAGTCTGTCATTGACAGACAGGGCCTTGGCGGGCCATGCAGCTGTGAGGTGGTTTCAGCCTGTTCAAAGCATGCATGCAGTGGCGACGTTTCATTTCGTTGAGGAATTTGACTGGGCTCAAGGACTATCTAGACTCCTGGCAGACGAATGAGACAAGCAAACAGTGCAGAGGTTTTAAAGTCAACACTTACTAACGCGACTTGTCAGCAGACCTGACCGATTTTCACACCCAATGCATGGCGAATCGCGTGCCTTTAGCAGTGGCGATGAAACCTGCGGAGATTCAAAGCTTCGCACACCGCAGACTTCGAGAAGGAAGCTGAGTGGGCCAGGTGACAGTGGCAGCAAGCCGCGCAAAGCGAAGTCTTCCGAGCCGGATGTCGCTAGCAAACGTGGGAAGAATAGTTTTGCCTTGTTGCATGGCCTGACGCAGGAGAAACTCAAGTCATGGCAAGGGCATGCTTTGATGGGCTCCTGCGTGCCGCAAGATGTCAAGCAGACTTTGCCATGTGACGTGCAGCAATCTTTGAAAGAGACCTGGCTTGCTGTCTCTGAGTCAGGAATGACCTGTATAGCCTGCAAGCGGGCGAACTTGACTGGGGCATGGGCTGAAGGAACAGCTGGTGCTGATGTTCAAGATCTACGCGCCTGGTACCTGACCAAGCACAACCAGTCAAAGGCCCATGGCCGGGCAGTGCAGCAGTATTTGAACCTAGGTGTGGGCCCCGTTGGGGCGCCCGACCTGTCTGAGTTCGAGTCAATGCTGAAGTCTGCTCAAGAGGGCGATTCTCTCCGCAAGATCAACCCGTTCAAGGCAATGTCCGACAAGACCGCGCTTATGATGTGGGTGCTGCAGGAAGCCCTCTTGAACTTCATCAGAAAGGATTTAATGCAGGCAGAGACGATCTCACTGATGAGAGACGCGAGGCGACAGCGCCTTCTCATACGGTATGGGCTCTGCAAAACCAATTTTGAAGTTTGTTCTGGCATCTTAGGTGTTGCCCGCGACTTTGGGGACACTGGCGGCGACATTGTCAGGGCCACCCGCCACATTCTGAAACGAGTCTGCACGGAGTACGCCTGCCCGCCAAGATGGTACAGAGGCCCTGAGAGTCGATTTCTGAAAGACGTTTACAATCACGCCAGGCGCGGCTGCGCAGCCGTGCATTGTCATGTTTCAATTTGTTGCACGCGTGCGTGCGCTAGGGACTGAATGAATTTGCACGAGCTGTGCTCATGTCACGTAGCATGGCTAATTTTAGTGTTTCAACGAATGCAGGCAGTGTGTTTCTTGAGGGCAGTGACTGACTGGGTGTTGCCAGGGAAGCAATTGAGCTCATAACCACTGACGCCGCGTCCAACGAGATTCTTGCCAGCAACGTCGGCGCTGGAAGGAGGAGTTCTCTGGTGGAGTCGGATAACAGTGACGAAGCGCGGCTGACACCCAATTTGAAAATGATTGGGCGTGACAAGGCCCATTCCTTCAGGAGGCTGATGACCCGACCTTACCAGTGCGACGAGTACTTGGACGAGTTACTCAACGACTTTGTCCATGACAAGTCTTCAATGTGTCAGAAGATCCAGCACAGCTTCAATCTCAAGACCATCTTTCAGGAGCAGGTCGTGAAGCAGGAGGCCAAGTGGGGCCAGAAGATCAAGAACTTGCGGGCAGCGAAGCACAGATTTGAAAGTCTTGCGGCGCCCATGGGCCGGATCCTCCTCTACTTACCAGCGTTTCTTGCTACCTGCGCACAAATCTGTGAGCAGCGGCTGGCTGCGGGGCCCCGAGCCGAGGCATTTCTGAACAGCTTGACTGCAGAGCGGCTTCTTCAAGCCGGTCTTCTAGCCGACGGGATGGACGAGGCCATGCTACTCATCCGTAGCGTTGATGTAGAAGAGGTCGACGTGTCCGCCATCCCGTTGCTTGTCCAGTCCTTTGTTGACAGGTTGCATGCCTTGTTTGGCCCAGACCGGTGCGCGCTAAAGTGTCCTGGCTACACTTCCCACGTTGTGGATACAAAGTGCTGGTCAAGCAGCGCCGTCGCGCTGATGAAGCTGCTGCGCGTCATCACCATGTCCTGCAGTGGGACAGTTTGTCAGGCCTATCCTACTGGATGACACCATCAGAGGAGGGATCCGAGGCCGAGTTGGTGTTGCAAACGCGAAACCTCGCGCGGACCACAGACCGCTTCAAGGCCGACATCTTCTTCGTTCAAGATGCTGCGTCCCCGCCGGAAAGGGTCCGCTGGGTTGCTGCTCTCTGTGGAAAACAAGTTTGCGATGTTGCAGTTGTGCTGGGTCGTGGCGGCATGCGCGTCGTTTACAAATGTTAAAACCCTCTAGGCCCCGTGCCGAAATTGGGTAGCAGTTCTGAGGTCCTTGTTGGTGTTGCTTCCCAAGTTCCATTGATCGCCATTTGGCTCAAGACACAATTGAGGTTCAAGATCTGATATGTGACTGCGAACATTCGTGACGGGCGATAAGAGCAAAACAACTGCTTGCTCTGCATTGTCAGGACTACTGGTAACTATCATTCCTTCTTCCTTACAACGTTTACACGGGTTCGGCTATAACGGCATCGTCCGTATACACCTTTCTACGTGGTTGGTATTGAAGCTTGAGGGTTCGGTGCACAGCGTCCCACGGGACGTCACCTTGCCGTCTCTTGACAGGTTATCAGCCGTAACTACAAGCTCTACACTGGACTGGGAGACAGCTGGTTTATTGCGGGTACAGGGACAATAAAGGAACGATAACATACACAGTACAATGGCGTCTTCGGCGAGCCCAAGTACTGCAACTTTTGGGAACAGCAGCTCAGAGGGATCCAATGGATTGATGGCTCTTCCTGCGGTGATGGATATGATTGCAGATTCACAGGATGAACCTGGGAGCGGAGGTTCCGCGCTATTCAGCGACATATCTACTCCCACAAGATCATGGAAGCAGATCGATGTTCATCAGGAGTCGAAGAAAAGAGAATCCCCACCGAGAAGATCATCATCTTCGCCTGCGACACCACGGACGTCGCAGAAGGGCGTGAGATCGACATCGAAGGGTGGGAGGTCAAAATCACCCACCAGTGCGGATTTTCGCGCCGTGATCAAAGAGAAGAATAAGATGGAGGTGGAGATCGGGGAATATCAGAAGACACTTGATGAAATGTCGGCAGCAATGGCGAATCTTAACCAAGAAGACTATGGAAGCACCATCCGGATTCAGGAGCTGGAAAGACGATGCGAGATTGCCAGCAAGCAGTCGGGACATCTAGTGAGTCACCACCAACACCACATGGCTGAGGCATGGCGCAAGTTTGAGGAAGAAGCCCAACAGATGCGCAAGGTGGAAATGAACGCATTTCAGTACGGGGAGAAGAAAGACATGGAGTCGAATATTATGATGCAACAGATGAGGCAAGCTGAAGGAACTATCATGGAGCAGAAGCGGGAGATTGCATTGATGAGATCCTACATGGCAAGCGAGAAGTCGGCCGCGCAGGAATCAGCTATACGTGCAAATCAGATACACCGTGAGGCTTCACAACAGATATCAGCTTATCAGCAACAGATCAGAGGCATAGAATCTTCTACATCTATCGAGAAGTTCAACGAGGAGGAGATGGTCCAAAGTCTGAAATCACAGTTGGAGCATGCACTCGTCAAGCGCCCCGAGACGTACTCTTTGGAGGACTCCAGGGAACAGCTGATGACGAGGCTGAATGACGTTACAGTATTTGCGGAACAGGAATCGAAGAGAGCAGATTGCTTGCTTCGCGAAAAAGAAGAGATCGTCAAACAGTATGAGTCCGACGTGTCGATGAAGGACCAGATGATTGCTGTCGAAGGTGGTCATCGTCAGGATGCGATCTTGGAGTTAGCCCAGGTCAAAGAAGAGAAACAAGAGGAACGGTGCACGATGGACGAGAAGTCGAAGGAGGCTGAGTACTGGAGATTGACAGCTAAGTTCAACCCAAGAGCCTGCTCCAGCCATTTCGTCCATGCATCGGTATCTGGATCTGCACACGCGCTCAGAACATTCATCAGCAGTTGCATCTTCCAGGTGTCAAGTTGATGGATCTTTGGCCAGGCCGGAATAGATACTCTCTCGGCCTCTTTCCTCGAGATTCTCGGTCGATCATTCTTGATCTCTCGGTTATCTCTCGATCTCCTTCGTCTCCTCCGTGTCCGATCGTCTTCTTCCTCTTCTTCTTCCTCGTCTTCCTCATCTCCTTCGTCGTCGTCATCCTCATCCTCATCATCGGGTGGATCATCCGGAGGTCCTCCTCCGCCACCAGCGAGGCTCAACTGACGTCGACCCGCTCCCCGCCCATTCCCATTGGGCGGGAATCCACCGTAATCCAATGGGGGCGTAGTACCGTTGTTTCCCCCTCCATCACCACCACCAGTCGTAGTAGTGGATTGTGGGACATGCCCAACAACCCCTTGCATCTGGGATAGGTGTACATCGATCATTGGATCACCGAAAGACGGAAAGAGGATCGAACCTGGCATCAGCGACGAATTAGGGATTTGATTGAAGACGATGACGGGACTGACCCAGCCACCTTCTTGTCTATCCTATTTGAATTAGCCTGGGTTCCTCCCTCAGCGCGTTTCACTACTGCTCGTTCACGATGTCCATCTTTGCTGCTGGAGGCTTCCTGCGTCTCCAGCTTCTTGTGTGCACGTAGTTCCTCGTTGTCAGCATCGAGTTGGCGTACAAAACTCTCTTCTTGTTTGAGCGTCGCCTCTCTTTCCTTCAGTTGTCCCTGAAGCTCATGCATCTCCTCGAGGTACTCATCGTACATTCCCCCAGACCTGGATTTGCTTAGCGATTCAGGTGGCGACAGATTTGCTACGATAGACATTAAGATGGCCATGGGCATGCAGAACATGCTGAAACAAGCACCTGACGAAGCCAAGGACGTATACCTCGATGCTACACGACACTCTGAACTACGACATCAACAAGGGGTGATCGTGAAGGGACGAGAGTTGGTGGCATTGGTTATGCAATCATTCAGAACTTCCGATAGAACGGATCTTGTCTACCACATCGAGCATCTATTCAACCTTGACTTTCCTGGCGACAAGAACTTGGTCATGTTCAGGAACAAATGGTATGATTTGCTGCTGAAGATGAGGAGCGAGGACAGACCCAGTAAGCTGGCTCTCAGAGACATCCTTTACAGGAAGATCAAAGGGAGCAAGAAGATGGAGTTCGGCCTCAATGCCTACCATAGACTACCGGACAAGCATCCTCAGAAGACGTATGAATTCTTATTGGCGTTGATCGACTATCAGATCAAGGCAGATCGGGAAGACCTGATGCTCGACATGAAGGAGAAATCGGTCAAGTCGATGATGAAGTCAGGCGGGAAGGATGCGGCTCCAGCTACTGGCAAACAGGAGAATCAGGGTGGCAAGGGCAGAAAGGGGAAACCCGGTGGACCTGATGCCGCTCCTGTGCTCCCAAAAGCCAAGGCAAAGGGCCACGCTGGCAAGAACGGCAAGTCCGACGGTGCCAGCGACAGAGGCAAGAGTCCGGGCGGAAGCAAGGATAACCCCTGCTGGTACCACTTCAAATCGGCGAAGGGGTGCGTGAAAGGAAATGAATGCACTTTTTCCCACAGCAAGAAGACGGAGCATAAGTTGGAGAGCATGTCCAAGGGGAAAGGAAAGGGCAAATCCAAGTCCAGATCATCGTCACCAAAGAGAGATGATGGAGCATGCTTCGCGTTTCAGAAGGGGAAGTGCGATAAGGGAAGCGCTTGCAAGTATAGGCATGAGCTCATCAAGAACAATTCAGCTCCAGCAACGTCAAATGACAAGGCGCAAGCCAAGTCGAAGGCTGCCGCCAAAGCCGCAGCGCCTGCCATTGCGAGGAGGGCCATCGCAATGCCCGCGATAGTCCTGAAGCAATCGGCTCCTGCAGGGAAGGTAAGCTTCAAGAAGGACGTTGATCATGTCGAACCGGACGAAGCCGAGACTATCTACCACGAGCACGATGACGACGCGATGAGCGAATCATCGAGATGGTCTGGCGAGTCCGAGATCCCCGAGAAAATGGTGTGGTTCAAGGAAGTGCTCGACGTCGACGAGAATGGGGAGATCACCTACCTCGAAGACGAGAGAAGGCAATGGGAACGAAAAGGGGAATGGTACGGTTATGAGGACAATGAGAATGAGCCTTATCAGTACGTGTACGTCGATGAGAAGAAGTTCAAAAGCAGTGATCATCGTGAATTATCAGCCTACCAAGTCCAACGATCATTGATACGTGCGAAGATACTGAGAGAAGTGGTGGATGATGTATATAAGAAGCACTACTTCCCGGTGACCAAGGAGAGCAGCATAATGTTCGAGTATGATCGGAACAAGGACGAGATCAAGGAATCGGCTGTCGACTGGAAGAAACAGCATGGTATGCCGAAGAACGTTTTCGCCATGTCAACGTGCATCAGCAAACGGGTGAAATGGTTGATGGACACCGGATGTGGTCATGATCTCATCGGAAGAGCCAAGGCGAAGAGCCTGGGTGTCGACATCGTGAAAGATGACGACGAGATCGTGTTCCAGACCGCGAATGGTTCCACTTCCACATCTGATGTGGCCAAGATAGTCGTGGACGAGTTGGACGAGACTGTCGAGCCGCATGTATTGGATGAGACACCCACGGTATTGTCAGTGGGGAGGAGATGCATGAAGATGGGTTATGCATTTCACTGGATGCCTGGTAAACTACCTTTCATGGTTACGCCAAAGCAGGGATTCGTGCACTTGCAGGTCAAGGACGACATCCCGTACCTAGTGAGTGATGGTAAACTTCGGAGTAACAGGCATCGCCCTACGATAGACGACCTCAAGGAGCACTTTTCGGAAGTATTGGCGATGGTAACGAACGACGAGGCAGATCAGGGAGGTGACGATGAGAACGACGTCACACCCGCCGCTGTCGGTGAGTCCGCAGAGGCCGAGGGCGAACACCACGACGGGGCATTCGACTTCGGGCCACCCGGAGGAGCCGGTCCGGTACGTCCGCCTCCCGTGGCTGAGGAAATACCTGTAGATGTTGGGTCAGTCCCGCATCGACATGGTGATGCCGAAGCTCACGAGGAA